CTGTAGAAACCAGCCATCTTTCAAAGTCCTACAAAACAAGCTTGAAATTTAGTAGTAGAAACAGAAAAACTGAAATCAAATATTCAAGTCTACTGTATGTCTAACTGATAACAGCTTAATAACTGATAATAACTCAGTTTGATGTAATATCACACTTTTTTTTTGACGTTTTGTTGATACATTTATCTAGTTTTAACTCTACCTTTGCGGGGGGATTATCCCTTAAGCTGCACACAAATTATAATGATTCTATGTTGGATACAACAGACCAAGGTGTATGTAAAACAAGAGCCAGAGACAAACATGGTGTGTGGTTGTTGTACTCTAGGTGCTTGCAGTCTGCGGAGAACGCGGACCCCCAGTTTCATCTGGAGTACCGCGGCCCCGTCACCATGAAAGGAAAGAAGGAACCGATGAGGGTGTGGTTTCTTTCTAGGAAGACCAACGACACAGAGCCTCCGGCAGTGAAACCGTAAACATAAAAACACTGAGTTCAGAGAGGACTTCAGCTCTTTAAAGTGTGGTGTTATCCTAAACTTCAGATGAAAATGAGTGAGGGGAACATTAAAATTAATAAAGGTATAGAAATATGGATATTTTTAATACATAAAAAAAGTGCTTCAAAGTGTATTTGAACTTGTATTGTCACCCTTCCACTTTCTCCACACACCTGATTCATTACAATCTCACTATAGGTTTTAGAATTGTGCAGTGTTAATAAATCATATAGCTTGGTACATTCAAGTTATCTTTAATTTTTTATGATAAAGTATTATACACTCATAGATAAATGGTAAGCTAAACATTTAAAACTAGCCAGACAATATTCGTGTGCCAAATGTGACTTGTGATTGCCAAAAAATGTACAGTTTACATTCAGAACAGCTTATTTGCCTCATAATGATAGCCTTTAAGGCTAGATTATATTTTACATTTAGCAACAACGATGATGATGAAAATAAATCTAGATGTGGAAGTTTCTGTGTTTTTGTTTTCATCTGCAGTTTAGCAATAAAACTGTGAGAAGACAATACAAGATAAAACATTATTTTTAAGTCACAAATAAACAAATGTATTATTATGTATTTCACATAAATATTTAGGAAGCATTCTCAATAAACATGAACACTAGTTTTATATATTTTTTTTCACTTGCCTCATTATTCCTTATTGTCCCTTATTTTATATTTGTTGCTGTTAAATAATACAGCTGAACAGAATTGCTTCGTGCCCTACAAATAATGTCTTACTATATATTTATTTTTGTTTCATTTCACCTGGTATTTATTCTTTTAGGCAAAAAAAGTTATGTGAGAAGTATTGATCATTTGTAAAATTGAAAAATAAATACATTTTACTTCACAATCTTTTGATTTGCTTTCATCATTTTAATAAATAAAGTAAAAATTTGTGTACTTTATATGTTGAATGCATTTATTATTTGTATTAGTATCATTTTTATCTATTTTTAATGATTTACTTCCAGTACATTTAAAATATTCTTAGTTTTTTTTTTGTGCCAGACCAAATCAGTATTTTTCTAAAAAAGCAGATTTGGTCTTTAAGTTCTTTAAGGCTACAAAACATGTCGTAGAAATTTAAATTTATCAATAATTTGTAACTTCAGAACTTTACAAGAATAAATAGTAGCATAAACAAGACAATTTAAAGAGCAAGACAGTCTCATAGCTGCTTTTAAACGTGATTGTTTTTAAAGTTCTCCATCTAGTGGATGATCTGAAAATCACATGATAAAATAGATCAACATTGCTTAGTAATGAAAACCAACCTTGATGCATTAAGCTCCCCGAGTTCCAGTAAAAAGTGTCCATAGGGTGGAATAGTGGTATTTCAAAAACAAATAGCCTACTGAGTGCCCAATTTTGAATTTATAGTGGTTTATCTCTAATCACCCAAAGTCATAATTATACACACAGATATCAAATATTTACAAACGCCCACAATGTTTTTCTGATTAAATGTGTCTTGGCACACCACACTCAGTTTATGCTGAATATCACTTTTCTAATTAGAAATAATATAAATAATTTTGTTTTTCTGCATAGACCTGACTTTTAAGGGATTGCTTACACATTTTCAAGTTGAGGTCAGGATCATTCCTAAAGCATAATTTTAGCTTGCTTGGTCAACTCTAGGACAATTATGGACAGGACTTTTAATCTTGTTGGAAAGCTCAACTTTGTCCATGTTTCAGGCGTCATTGACTTGAAAAAATGTAGAATTGGGACATGATCTTCTTTCCTGATTTATTCCATCCACTTTGCTAATACACTCACACCAAGACAGACCCTCACATGATGCTGCCACCACTGGACTGGTCAGTTGGTACATGACACTGCTTTGTTATTAAATTACCAGAGCCTGAAAAGCTGATGTGTCCCAAGCAATAGAGACTCCAAGAAGAAGTTTCTTCAGTCTGTCGGAACAAACTGTTTCTGCACCTCACCACAAAGTTACGCTTTTCACCATAAAGAATGGCACTGGCATCATAACAATATGGGGAAGCTTCTCACAGGAATCTAAAATAAAATTGGTGGATAATTTGATTCAGCCTGCCAGAAAACTACCAGAAATACACATCAAAGGCGACATACTCAATAAAGTGAATGGGAGTGGCCAAATCTAAATCTATAACATCATGTTTATAGATTTATAAACACGATGAATATGTAGACATTCACCTTTCTGTCAGGGTTATCTAATCAGGATATATTCTATTTCACTGTTATAAAAAAAGAGAAATTTCAAAGTTCAGGCACATCTATGTTGGCTGGGGATTTATTATCTTACAAAATAAGACAATAAATGATAGAAATATCACATCAAACAAATAATAGGCAATCATTACATATAATGACACACACTGTAGATCAAACATTCATATTACCTCGTGCTGCATATTATCAGACATATTAAATGTGTCCGATTGAGATTAACTGGATAAAATCTTGATCAGTAAAATAAATTAATATGCACAAACTCATAAATCTTCAAGCACCACAGTAATTTGTCTTTTTACCTTGAGATCTTTTTTGTCAAAATAAGTAGAGTGAATTTAGCTAAAGAAACTATATGGTGTTTTAACAATTCTTTACAATTACTGTTTTTCTAGAGTTCTGCAACTTTGATCACATGCCAAAGAGTTTGGGTCCTTCAAGGACGCATGTCTTTTTTATACAGCCATGTTATCATTTGTTCTGCTCTGGCAAAAGTGAATGACAATTGATAAAAAACTGATACTTAGGCACAGATAAACGGCTTGTGATATGACATGTTAACGATAAGCATCCACTAGACCTAATCAAGTAGGTGGTGACTGGTTTCGTCACCTCAGTTAAGGTAGAAAGGTCTTCTTTTTGATAAAAGTGGAGATATTGACGTATTTATGTCACCCTGAACAAAAAAAAAAAAAAAAAAGAAACTCCAATAAAAAAGAAGACTGACAAGTTATCAGGGACAAGATAGACATCCCTGACCAGTGAAGAACTTTAATCATCTCTTTGTGAAGGAGGTGTAAGTCCTTGTTCCTGCAGCCTGTAACAGCTGTGCAAATCCAGTGGCAATGCAATTGGTTAATGTATTTGGCCACTTTCTCCTCTTTTGTGTCTTTTCAAAGAAAAAAACGAACTTCATTTGATTTGGAGTCATGAAGTTGTTTCTACATAATTCAGTTTTCCTGAAACAGCAGCTGGAAATCACCAAGTACATTTCCCAGCTCACAGTCAAACTTCCAACAAATAATGTGCTTTCACTGACCTCAGTTTTTGGATTAATTTAGAGCAAGTCTTAGCATTAGTTTAGACCACATATCTGTGTAAGCTCTCGTGTGGTAATAGCTTTAAATATCAAAGGTCTTCCTTATCAGTAATTGTTTGATTTAGGTCAAAGACAATGAAGGAAGGGTATGACTAGCTAAACCAATGAACAAAACAGTTATATGAAGAGCTTTGGTAACTTGATTGAATAGTATCATTAAAAAAATATTTTTATCTACTAGATGTAATGGCAGATAAAAAGATATTTGCATCATCTACTGTGTTTCTCAAATCATTGTACAAACACTTGTGGTGCAACTTGGACTGCCTTTAGTGGTACTTACAGGCAATGTTGGTATCAATTACAAAAACAAACTATTTATTACGCAAAATCCATAAATACGCCAGCAAAAATGTCATTTAATCTAAAACTTCTAAACAGAGCAGCACAGTGAGCACAAGTCGTGGTGCAAGCGAAGTGGAATCGTGTGCTGCTGATCATTTCGAGTCCAACCCACTGCCTTTTATAGTTGAGATTTTCAAACACTGTAGCAACAGGTTGCGTACTTTTGAGGTCAAGCATATAACCAGAGGTGAATACAAATAGTTCAGTCAGTAGTTTGAATGCTTTTATGACTAAGTTTTATGTTCAAGGTAGTTGATATAGCTGGGCATATTCTGACTTTCTAACATGGAAATCCAAATTCTCAGCGATTAAGTCTTTTCATCTTGAAAAGTAGAAATCTTCTGCGTAAAACTGACAATGTGTATTTAAATCATATCTTTGAACCAATCATATTTTCTCTTATTCTGACAATAAACTTAAAGTCCATGTCCTGGTGTGCTTCTGTTTTAAAATGTTTTTGAGTTGGTACGAGGAAGAGTGTTTACCAGGGTGGTTGCAAAAGGTTTAGGAGCCAGTTCCATTGAGGTCCTCTCCTTAAATTATCCCTCAATAACAAAAGTTCACAGGCAAGTGTTCACCGACACACTTGCTGTAATTTTCCATTGCATTGCAATTGTCTGCTGAACACACAAGGCCACCACCCTGTGTAAACACACACACACACAAGTTCGGCAAGAAAGGCAACCATTCAGTAATTCATAAAGTGTTCGCTGTGGATAATGCAGCCTGTAACCTGAAAAAACCTGAGCTTTAAACGGCCACATCATCACGCAGATGACGAGATAAGAGCGTACGCAGCTTAAAAGGAGCGCCTCGGTCTCAGTAGGACGCTCCTTTCTGCACAGTGGTCCAGCTCGCCTCAAGCAGTCAACATGACCTTCAACGGCACCTGGAAGGTTGATCGCAATGAAAACTACGAGAAGTTCATGGAAAAAATGGGTGAGCTTTGTCAGACTGGAGATAACTAGTACCAGCCTGTTTAAAAACATGCTTTTTAGGTAAAGAAGTGACCTTAATATTCACAGAAATTGATGAGGTGCTCTATGGAGGACTGATAAAATTCTGGTACTTTTATTCAGATGGTAAACTGCTAATTACAAATTGACTAAGCCAAGTTTTGGTCATCTAAGTTTTATTTGCAAACTGTTGATTGCATGAACACTTCCTAGTTCCTGATTTGGCTTTTGAACTCTTACTTCCACTTCACAAAGGCACAAAAGAAGTACTTTTTTATAACCCACTGAGCATGTTCAACATGTCTGATGACAGGAGTAAACATGGTGAAGAGGAAGCTGGCCTCTCACGACAACCTGAAGATCACCATCGAACAGACTGGAGACAAGTTTCATGTGAAGGAGAGCAGCAATTTCCGCAACATTGAAATAGACTTCACCCTGGGAGTCAACTTTGAGTACAGCCTGGCAGATGGAACAGAACTTTCAGTAAGTAAAAATAGAGCCACATCAATTTCAGCTCAAACCTTTCTGCCCAAACATCTGATATATGCAATTATTATTAAGACTACACCTTTATACAAGATCTTTTTGGTCATGTGTTAAACCACAGGGTGCCTGGACCATGGAGGGAGACACACTAAAGGGGGTTTTCCACAGGAAGGACAACGGAAAACAGCTGACAACAATCAGAACCATCCAAGGAGACGAACTCACTCAGGTAAAGAGTTTGATTGTATGCCTCCATGCCAAATGCCTCCATGCCAAGTCTAGCACTGCAGTGTCTGAACACTTGTAAAACAATGGAGATATATTTTTGAAATTATATGTTGGTATGTGAGATCTAATGCAAAATTCAATATTTTTGTTTTCAACAGAGCTACAGCTACGAAGGTGTAGATGCAAAGAGGATTTTCAAGAGGAGTTAGACTCGTCTTCTTTACTAAACAAAGTGAATTATGAAATTATGTACAGTATTGTGTTGAACTGTCACATACATCAACATTCAAAAGTGCCAGATTTGTGATGCATTTTTATACCTGCATTAATAAAATTAGAACAGCCGGTTCTGTTTGTCCTCCTTGGTTTTTGGGGAAAAAGAAACAAAAAAACAAACAAAAAACATGCTTTGTGAGCTTAGTGTGCAATCATAACACAGGAAGGTGACTAATGTAGGAGTGGTGCGGTAATTAAAACTTTATTCAACAATAAGTAAAAATAAAGATATATTATCTCCAAAAGTAGAAAGTGTAGACAGATTTAACAATAGCATTTTTCAAATTAAGCTGCACCTGGACATGTCAGAAAGCATGCAGTGGATTATCAACAAGTTAATGGAGAAGACCACACAGAGGCGTGAAGGGAGATCCAGTGATCTGATGACTATCACCAGTGAGCCTGGATAGGATCGGATAAGAGCAGTCACATAATGTGGAAAATGTCCTATTTAGCCCTCGATTGTTGATGTTGATGCTAAACAAGGTAATCAGATTATGTCTCAGTGTGTTTAAAACACCGGATAAAAGATATGTTTTACAGTAACACCATGCATCAATACAAGGAGAGCTCCCCAGGTTTCCTCTGCAGGACTTGACTTCCCACACAAACTGTAAATGTAGCTATAAATCTAGCATTTTTAGCTACATTTGTCAATAAAGAGCCTACTTCAAAATAATCTTATTTCATAGGTTTGTGGGTATCAAATTTTAATGTAATTTTTATACATCGGAAAAAAACAGCAAATTAAATTATTATGTATGCAGCAGAAAATGATCATTATTCATAGTCACACTAAATTGTCATAGGAATCATGTTTCATGTGAAACGTAACTAATCATTAGAAACCACTGAAACTTTCTGCTCCAGACTTGACAGAGTCGATTAGTGGGATAAATAATCTCGTCTCCACAATTTCTGTATCCCATCGAGTTAAAGAAATATAATGGGGTGAATTCTGGCTTGATAATCAAATCCTGCTTAGGTTCTCAAACAATCTTGGACTAGTTCGGGCTTTATGGGACTCAGCAGGAGAACGCCATGTGAAGTCTTTAACTGAAGACTACACATCATGAATACAAGACGCACCTTACAATTACAATAACTTGATTAAACTGTAAGAAACAAAATGCATTTATTGTCCATTAGGATTTAGCAGCAACCTCAGAAATGAGGTAAGTGCTGCAGATTTCTTCTCTGCACTTTGTCAACGTTGTGATTTTGCTACTTGCAGTCATGACTGTAGCCATCCAGAATAAAAGTGCTTTTAAAATTGTTTCCATACAACAAAATATAATTTGCCTGTTAGCTTCACACCTTTTCCATTCTGTCACATTACAACCTGAAACTTTTATGTATTTCATTTGGATTTTATGACACCAACCATCATAAAGTGGTGCACAACTGTGGAGAAGACAAAAAAAATGTCGCCATGAAAGCAAAAATGTGATTTTCAACCTTAAATAAAATCCAGTACTGTTGTTCTGTGAAGGCCTCAGAGATTTGTTGGAGAGCCTTAAAGAACAACAAGCATCATGAAAACCAAGGAACATAGCAGACGGGTCATTGAGAAAGTTGTGAATAAGAAGAATTGGTAATTAAAAAATATCCTGATTTTGAACAACTTGCAGCAACATGGATCAGCAAACTTTACAATCCAAGATAATAATCTTTACAAAAGATCAAAACTTGAAGCTATTAAGGATCTGTGGGTAGATTTAAAAATCAGTTTATATGTTTTCTACTTTACTCTAAACTTGAACAACCTACATGGAGAAGTGTAAATCCTTTGAAGACTTTCCCCAAGATAATTGCAGCTATAATGGCATTAAGGTACATTTGAGCTTCTGGTTGTAATGCAACAAAATTTGCAAAAGGCTAAAAGAGAAGAAATAGTTTTGCAACACACCATAGATTGAAATGTGTCTGTTCATTTATCTGTGTTATTTCCTAAAAATGGTTTATTTGAACAGAGACAAGGAAAACAGACATATTGCACTGAAGATGTCAAGGCACAGCTGATAAAACAAAAGACGGAACATTCAGAATGTAAAGCAGAACAAGGAAAAAATAAGAGATGCAAAAAAGAAAAAAACTTCTATGTACTCTGACAACTATCTGGGTTTAGTTTGATCTTGTCCGATAAACAATCATTTCTTTGTTCAGTAAATCAATTAAAAAGAATTAGGATCTAGCAGCTCATGGGTCGAATAACCTGAACAAAGGTCACCAAGAACAGATAAAAGCAAATAAAGGAAAACATAAATGACACAATGTGTAGGAACAGACCAGACACTATGATGAGCATAAAAGATATGCATGTATAGACATTTTTATCTGGAAGTAGAACAACATAGATTTTTTTATATGTTCTTGGAAATGTTGAGAATGAACACATTACACTGACGTAAAACACCCACATGTGCATTGAGACTCATTTGAAAATAATTTTTGGTGAATGCATATTGTCCTGGTCAGTTAGGTTTCCAGCAAACTGTTTTCAAATGCATAAACAACAGAGTGTATTGTTGTACGAGCAATAAAAGAAAAGAAAAAAACAACAACCAAAAAAAAACATTCAACTTCCCAGATCAGTAACGGTTACAAACTGCTATTTAATAAATTGATTCCTTACAATTAGATAGAATCCCTTATAATGCTAAGAGGACTCAAGAATCCAGCATTTTCATGCTCATGCTGCACATACAGCTAGTATGTTTTATAAAGGCCACATGCAGGTTTCACAACATCACTGTTATGAATAGGAATACCAGTGTGTTGAGCCGTGTAGTTAGTAATGATGTCAGATGTGTCCGGTACATTATGAAAATACCTACAAATATAGATCTGTTTGGATTTCTTTAAGGAGGAAGACAAAATAAAATACAGAAAAATGGATTAGAAGAACCAGCATGACAAAATAAAAGTTGTAGTGAATAGCCTGAGGGCTGCCCCTGCTACTGAACTCCAGATTCTTAAGCTAACATGACTTTATGGATCACCACAAACTGAAGGCAGTCATGCAAAATTACACTTTAATGAACCAAAAGTGTTTTTGCATTACTATTTATATAAAGATGAAGACCAAACCAGAACCTTCTCTGGTAAATTCTTACAGCAGTGGAGGCCGTCTGCGTTGGGGCAGCCAACAGTCATTCATTAACATATAAATGTTGCAAAAGATCAGATAAATGATAACAAATCAGTAACTTACAATGAGTGACTATTGCAGCATATGTTATCTGGTGACAGTGAAAAAAATTCCCAGTGTGCATAAAGTTAGTGAGCTGCCCAGATTCTGACACAAAAACAATTGTCAGCTATATTATGTTGACAGCTGAGTTAAACCAGGATTTATTCTACAGAAAAAACGTGACAATTGGATAAAATGCTTAATACACAGATTTGTCCCTCTTTGCAGAATATTTGTGCAGATTTCGGCATCATCTGTTGATAATCTCTAACTTCACCTTTAGACAGCGATCCACTTCTGATCATTTCAGTCTGTTGACAAATAAATGAACAGTCTTTAATTTAACTGCAGTTTTATTATAATGTGGAGACAGAATATTAGCCAAAACCTTTATATAGATGTTATTAATGATTGGCACATCACTGGGTGAAATAAGTATTTGATCCAAAAAAGGATGCAGGGCAGAATTCTGGGTCGTGGGGTCATTTGACAGAAATCCATCAGTTAACCAATGACAGTTATCAGTAATCCCAATTTAAATGTTTTGCGTGTATCAAGGACACCTGACTGTAGAATCAGGTTGTTCCATACCAACCTGTCCTTCGCCAGGAACAGGACAAACAGCTCTCAAAGGACATCAGGAAAACAGTAGATCTGACAAAGGCAGGAATGAGCTTCAAGGCCATCATCAAGAAGCATTTAGTTGCATAGACTTAGAAATGATGACATGACCGAGTGGAGGGTGTCTTTATAAAGAAATTCCATTCTTTTATTCCTATGAAATCTTTGCTAGATTGCAGGGGGTGGGAGTCAATGTTTGTGAGACGCACTGGGCAGGTCACCAGTCGATCATCAGGAAACACAGACAGGACAAACAACCATGCACAAACACCTAAGAGCAATGGGGCGGGGGAGACCAATTCACTTGCCATGCTTTTCACTGGACTTTGGGTGGAAACCAAGTTACCCAGAGAGCGTGCAATGAGATGCATGCAAACTCCATGCAATCCCCAGACTCTTGCTGCAAGACAACAGTGCTAATAATGGAGCCGCGGTGCTGTCCACAAAACATAACTCAAAACATAGAGCAATGGTAACAAAGGAGTATCTAAAGAGGAATAACATTGGGGTTATAGAGTAAAATCTGGAGGGAGCTGAATCTTTGACTTGCCAAGAAAAAGCCAAGATCCCAAGAAAATTAAAGAGTTTTTTTTCATGACCATTGAGATGAGTGGGGACTTTGCGGCCAACAGAAATGTAAGCCTTAGTGCTACAACTGGCAACAAACTTTTGTCCACCCAGTGTTTAATTCTAATTTATTGAAGGAATAATCATTCACTTCCCTTAGAAGAAAAACAACTAGTTGGTAACTATGTATTTCGAGTTGACATGCTGTCCTTCTACACTGGAATCAAACCACCAAATAAATTAGAGACTGTTCATTTGTTTGCAAATGAGCAAACTAACAAGATCAGTAGTTAATACCAGAGTTTTTAAACCCCTAACAAATTTAATACTCTTAATTTTATCAACATATTGAATAAGAGAGGGAATATTTAGTTGGAGATCAGACTGATGCCAGGAAGACTTGGAGTTCAACACCAGAAATAAATTGTCAAAATAGTAGTGGGAACATAAAAAAATAATTTGCCTGTAATAACAGGTAAATTATTATTATTTTTTCAAATTGATATTCCTCTTGTTACTGTATTATCGTTCATATTTCCTAACAAACATCTTCATTAAAAATATCATCAAAACTAAACATGCCAGGGGTATGAAAACATTTGGCCTTCACTGTTGTTCGAGCTTCGTCCAGCCGTTAGCACTTTAGCAGAGCTCCTCCACCAATGAAACTAAATGACATGAAGCTACCATGATGTGTCATAAAAATAACTAAAACCTAAACAGCGCTTTGTGCAAACTGAAGACAGATTTCATTTTCTTAACAACACCACGGGACAGTGAAAGATACACGCGATAGTTGATAATCTGTCAAACAACACACTACAGCATTTAGAAGTAGGTTGTATTTATGTGACAAGCTTGCATAAATAAATTCCACCCAGTCTGGAGACGTCGGGGGCATCCGAACATTTTTCCATTCTGTAAACTCTTTGGCATCCAGTCGTACTGTCTGTCCATGTAAACAAGACTTACCAAGTCAACACTCATAAAAAACCTCGTTCATCCAGTCCTTTGGCTGTCACTGGCTTCCATTTTGCAGTGGGTTTATTGCTATTATGGCCTGTGCAGAAAGAAAGATGAGATCTCTGTTGGTAAAAATGTATTTTATGAAAGTTCTCTGGGCATATGCTGATCAGAATAACAGAAAACTATCTTATGTAGCTATTTCGCTCTGTTTAAACAGTTTTTTTCTAAGTCTTACTTGTTTCAGGTCGGGCTTTTGGCACGTCATGTGAGTGTGCGTCATTGGGAAGTGTGTGGCTGTTATCTCTGCGCTCACTCTCAGCTGCTGTCCTTGGCACTGTGGCAGAGAGGACCAGAGGTCTCTGGTTGTGGTACTTGAGGCGGTACGTTTCCGTCATGCAGTTGTCCACGTTAAAGTACGTTGTCAGGGAAACCTCTGGAGCTTGTGCCGCCTCGTCCGCTCTGCTCCCCGTCAGTCTCTCCTCGCTCTCGCACGACGACTGAGTGCTCCTCTCTGGGTCCGAGCCCGACTTTGAGCTCGCATCAGAAAAGGTTCGCAGGCCTGAAATGTCAGGCCTCCTTTTGGGGCTTGTGTAGGACGAGGGAGAGAGGCGAGGGCTCGATGGAAAGGGCTCCTGAAGCATCCGGGGCCGAAATGCAGCGTGGCTCGCTTCACCATGGAGCGAGGAAGTCTGCGGGTTGGGTTGAAGGTGAGGCGACCCAGATGCACCGAGCTGAGTTTCTGCTGTCGCGCTGCTAGGCGGGTGGTATGGCAGGTCGATATGAGGGCACGGGGAGTCAGAGGTCACAGCCTCACTATTACTGGATAAGTAAGTGCTTTCTCTGTCCTCGGACTCTGAGAGAACAAGATCGTCTGAGCTGTTCCACTCGGAGCTGCTGGTCTTTGTGATGTGTCTCGGGGTCGTGTTCTCCCCGCCGTGCCCTCTGTAGGTCGTCGGCTCCTGGTGCTCACTCTGCCGACTTTCTGAACCAGTCGAGCTCTTCTCTGAACACTTTGCTTTCCTAGAGGTGTTAGATGTGTGTTTTGATCTCTGTCTACAAGAAAGAAAAAGCAGGTACATACATTTTAATACAGACACAGAGATGTGTCTGTAATTCACTACTAATTGTATATTTTGTCATCTTAAAACTGAACACATGTATATAGTTTGATTTTTGGAGGATTTTAGGCCATCACAAAATTCTTCATTACCGTGAAGTCAAGTTAACTTCAATCAAATTAGTTTCCAACAAATAAATATCTATTTGTATTCCACCACTGTACAGTGATTACGATTGCTGCAGGAAACGCAGCGAGTGCTTTGCAATTATTCTGAGTATTTACACACTGAAACCTGCTCATTATTCTTGGCAAAATATTTCAAGCTTACCCATTGTTTAACTCAATAATATTAGAAATCTTTCTTCAGCCTATAATTATTGTTTTATTCAGTACTTTCACTATTTAACACGAATCCTCCTGCGATTCCCTGAAAATGATCAAGATCAGTTTTAATTAGTGTGTGCATTTCAGCATGAGGGGGGGGACAACAAATCTCCTCCTAATCATCACACCACAATATATTTATTAGTTTTACACAGGAATTTTAAGGCTTTTTACAGTAAAATAAGTGGAAATATTTGCTTTTGTCTGTCCATTTTCTGATCAACATACATTAGAATTGTTTTAATAGCCTTCTGGTTTCATGTCAGTTTAAAAAGGCCACAGAAAGATGACATCCCATAATTGTAACACAATATTTTATGGGAAATTTTAAGGTTATGATGATTCTGACCTATTCTTTCCACTTAATCTTAAAGTTGTTCTTTTTTTTTTTCGGAAGGTTTTTCAGTGTTTAGACACAACTACATTAACGTATTTAATCATTTTATGGCTTTTTTAACCGTCCTTACCGGCACTGATGACATGAACAACGAGTGCTGTAAATAAAGGCTTGTGAAGATCTAATGGAAGAATCCACAGTTGGATTTAACTGTAGCTGCACGAGTGAAAGCCAGTCATCATTTTGAAATAAACGATAATTACAAACACATTTTTTGAAATATTTTAAGAACACTACCTTGAACTTGGACTGAACTTTAGTTGAGAAAGTAAAACTTGATCGTGGTTCCCCTGAGGTTTTGTTGGATGTTTACCTATTAAAGGGAGAAAAAAGGAAAAAGAAAGGAATGAAAATGTACAAAAAATAAAAAATAAATAAAAACATTTGTGAGTAAATTCCTCTTTCAGAGGGGTTTGTTCCATCAGATGTACATTCTGTTCCTAATCACAAGGACATGAATGAAAATGAGGATTAGTGACTGGAATGAATCTAATTTTTCTCTGAATTTTGATCAAAAATATGCAGAATTCAGAGAATAAACTCAGAGCTCCCCTAAGACATAAGTGTGACCTTTGGTCTAACATATCAAAAATATTACAGTTAAACATTTGAGCCTGATCTGCTTACATAACTGTAAGATAGTAAATGCGGTATTCTTTATGTCCACTAGGTGGCAGCATTATATTCTAAGACACAATGTACTGACCTGTCACCACAGCAAGAGAGTCACTGATGCTGACATGTTGCCTTTGAAAAGCACATTTTCTTAAACATTTATTTATTTTCATCTTAACCCCTTAGAGGATGATTCAAACACTGGACATTGCTTTTGCAAGGGACCACAACCTCTTAATGCATAAAGACTTGATTCATTTAGATAGAGCAGAACAGTTCGTGCAACAGAATGCTATTTATGACAATGTCAGCGACCATGTGCAGCTGCGCTATCTGAGCTTTGTGGGATTATCATCAGATTAATGCCAGTGCCGGGCAGACAGGGGCCGGAGGTTAAATACCAAGTTCAGGCACAGAAATCAACCCAGATGTTCAGCGAGCTCACAGTCAGGACTGAATGTGGATTGCACTAAAACTTGCAAGTCTTAAAAAATAGGAGTGAAAATAAGTCTGTCTAAATATCACAGGAAGCAAATCATACTTTTACATATCAGACTAAATGATCGAACGTGTTTGTTTCATTGCTGTAAATCTTTTCCACAAGGTTCTGCAGATGAGTTACAGAAGAGAAAAGGAACTCACCTTTTCCTGCCAAACATTTGCTGCTCTGCTCTATTTTAAATCAGGGGGTCTGTTTTACATCTTAAGTTGGTGGCATATTTTATTAGTTGCCTTCCTTTTTCAGCAATTTACTTTTAGCTCAAATTGATGTCTCTTAAATCTGACTAGATTACCAGAAGAAAGCTGTTTGGCTTCTGTGAACGGACGAAAAAAGAAAAAAAGAATGAGAACCTGCCACAGAAAAAAAAAAAGATTAAACAAGCAAATTAAAGAATAATAAATAGAGCCATTGAAGAAGGGTGCAAATGTATTAATTGTGTAAATTGATGTTTTCAGAATAAAACATGCAGAATAAACTCTTAAAAAGTCTTGAAAAGTTACTTAAGACAATAATTTTGCTCCAACTATTGTTGGAACTGTGCTGCTGGAAAACCTGATTAGTCACTTATGAGGAACTTTGAGATGCAGTCAGGCAGGTTGATCAGTACTTAATAATCATCAGAGGGGTAGAAAATAGAAGGAGGTCATGGCAAAGTAATCGGTACTGATCAAGACCTGCTTCATTCGGATGCTTTTGTTGTGTTTTCCGTGCAGTGTTTAAAATCAGCTGGGACTTTTACTCAGTTCCAAACCCTTTTTGAAGCAAGATAAACCTTTGGGCTTACCGTTGTGGGAAAGAGATGATATCATATTTGACTTTGCATTGACTTCCTTTTGATGCAGCTGACTGAAAAATAAAGACATAAGAAAATTGAGAGTTGTCAATAATTATTCAGCACTGTGCTTTCATCTCTGAGCACTGAAAGTCCACTGTAACTTGTCTAGTTACACAGTGGACATTTTATTTTGGCTTTAGCATATTAGAATAGGTGTTAGTATGCTTAGTGCATTACTGAAACAAGTTTGCATGTTTTTTTTTCTCCAGAGGATGCAGATTCTAACTTTAACTCTAAATATAAACATTGCACCTATTCATGTATTTGTCTCAAGATGACATCACTTTGTTCTTTCGTCATATCCTTCTGTCGGAGAGCTTTTGTGTATTTTGTCAAAACAATTGAAGTGGTTTATGTAGTAACAAATGCACTATGAGGACAACCTCCCAGGAGTCCTGCACTCGAGTTCTTGTTAAACATGAAATGTTCAGTTCTTCCTGTGAGAACAGGAAGAACTTACTTTCTGTTCTTACCACCTCATAGGCATGAAAGCATTGTTTTTTCTTTCTTGTTGAGTGTGTTAATGTCTTATTACTGCTGATTTTTTATTATGTTTAGTGTTGCTTTCGAATACTGAAAGGAAATCGATGTCTGTACTTTTCTGTGGAACTAAATCCACTGCAGGATGACACTTTTCTCTTTTACCTTTGTAAAAGAATCTCAGGTGTTAACCTCTGATCTGGTCTAAGCCCAAACCCATCAACCCCAGGTGAGTCGGGATTGGTCGAGCCGCTGCTGAGTCGGTCGCTGCTCTCATAGCCCGACTCTGTCCTCTGAATGGTCCAGGTGTCGCTGCGCAGCAGAGTCTTGGGAACGGCCTTTAGTCGACTTCCTCTCTGCTGGCCCGCTCTGCTCTCTGACTCCACGGAGCTGTGGCTCTCGGTCTCGTGCCGCTGCTCGTCCTCATAAATTGTCATTAAGCATTTCTGTTTCCGGTCCTCTCTAGTTCTTGTGTGTTCGCGCTCTCTGCTTGGTTCTGTGCGCGCTCTCTCCTGGGAAGAAGGCTTGCTGCACCGCGGGCTATCCTGCTGCTGCTGCCTTCGCTGCTCCAGTTCATTCAGCACCGTGTCTACATTCAGCACCTCCCTGATGGGTCTCCAAGTTGACTTTGACCTATTTTGGCTCCCGCTGCCTCTTTTTTCCCAGTGTTTGTGGCTACCCTCCTGCTCATTGTGTCCTGGGGAAACGTTGATCTTTCTGATGTGTCCCCCACTCTGTGCACTGCACAGCTGTTCATGGGGCTCCTGAGATCCTCTGCTTTGATTTGATGACTTCTCAGAGCGCAGAGAGTTCTTTATTTTCTCTACAGGAGGCCGGGGCCCATTCTCTGGGGGAGATGAAGATCTTGTATGTGTCATGTCTGAAGAGGGTTAACAAAGGTCATTAATAGCCTCACCGTTGCTCTGATATTCAGACTGTCCAATCCTCATTGCCTGTTGAAATGTTGCCATCCATGGAGCCTACCTTTGTGTTGTGAAGGCTCGATTCTCCGATGCACCCTGTCCTTTTTTGATGTTTCCACTGGTCTTTGTAGATTCTCCATGAAGGGATCCTGAAATTTGTTAGGGCTGCCAAAAGGATGTTTCACTGAAGAAGAAAAACAATAAGAACATGAGTTTAAGTTCTACAAACAATATCCTGCATTTAAAGTAAATCTGAACAACATTTGAAAATCTTGCACTGACAATAATTTTGGTAAATATTGGCACAATGATATCAGTTGTGAAATATGATTTTCTTCTTCCGTCTTTTCTCATCTGTGCTTCTGACACTCTGTGACCTTTGCGAAATGTTAATCGTGTCCTGTGTGAGTATCTGATGTTGTAAGACTGTAGCTCCATTTTACATTAGCATGTAAACTATGACAATATCAGATTGTTAATATTACACACACTGATGTGATGGCAATACCTTTGTGATATATAGTCCAGCCCTAATTTTGATTTAATTTATTTTACGAATAAGTCTTTTTACTTCTGAGACACTATGTTAACTGGCTGCCAAGAAAAGCACAGGCTGTTTTAATTTAACTGGATTTGAGCCACAATTTTATCTTTACTGAAGTGTTTTCCACAGTGAATCACTATCAAATTTTCTGCATAGAGAACTTCATGTCTGGCAACACTCACATAAATATTGGGGACAGAGCAAAGAAAGGAGAAAGGTTTACATCAGATGCAGGTGCAAAATATGCAATCAGAAATATTATTTGAGTTACAATTAATTATAGTATGGCACTTAAGCTGTCAAAAACAGAAACTGGTATGCCACCATGATAAATATTTCCATTTGAAACTATGGCCACAAACCCAAATATTGAGTATTAATCAAGCTAGCAGTTCGATAAAGTATAAATGGCATGCATGAGTTGTTTATGGTAGGACTTATGGTTGGTCAATAAAATAGACCAATGCGCTATTTTTTTCTATTTGTCACACTTGCACTGGATTTGAACCTCAGCAGCAGCCATTTCCAGCCTCACACTTTCTTCCTGTATTGCTCTAACAATACAACATTTCAACTTCTTCTTTTTCACAACCTTCTAGCTGCAGTGTTTGGTCTACTTGTTGATGAACCTCTGAGGTTCACAGCACATTTATGTTTTAACTGAAAATAATTTAAAACAATTTGACGGGTTTTGTCAAACACAGTAGTGCTTCGTCACTAAAACCCAGTCAGAATAGCAAGTGAGATTTCAGCAAAAAAAAAAAAAAAGCAAGAAAAAAAACATTCAAAGGGCATTTTCTTTATATTCTGTTTGTGTTCAGTTTTCTCTATTCCCCATTATGGTTTTTGAACTATTATGTCAAAGTATTTACTACTAAAGGACTAATCAAGGTCACGGACTTCTGGCTAAAGTAATCTACCAAATCAGTCATTTTTACTTCTCGCAGCAAATCTGGAGAACAAGCTCCTGAATGCCAAAGCTACAACTAGACGAGTTCAAATGTTCAGTTGTTGGGTGTAATAACTCACACAATTTATTACACCGTCCCCAAAGATCAGAACCCCTTTCAAGTGCCAAGTTGAAATATCTTTTTCTTAGAAAAGTATCTACATCAGTGGGGAAAAACTTCTCTGTTTGCACAAGAAACTTCAAGGACAAGTGCTTCAGCGCCAGTATCAGGAAGGATCTGCCAAAAGACTTCATCTGATTGAGGAGTCAGCCCCTTCTGTCCATGGAAACAACAGAGACAGCAAAGAGGTAACCTCAAAAAGAGCTAAAATGACCAGATTTATTCTAGGCGCTGCCAGGAATCTTGCCCTCAGATTCACCTGAGAACAGAGGTAAAAGAAGGCATGTGGAGCAACAAGAAATTCAGACTTAAACTTGTAAAGGAAGGATTTGAAAACATGATCCACTTTTAGGTTTGCATACTTTTGTCGGTCAGATGTAATGTGCTAATATTTGTCTTTAATAAACTGATTAATCACAGTTTATAAAAGATAAACTTTAGCAGGTGTCAAAAGTGGTGATTGTTGTCTTATAAAAAACCCAAGGAACATGATTATGTATTTTCAACATAAATTTTAAACTCAGTTAATTTTAATTCTTTAAGGCCCAGGGCCGTAACAGACGGTAAAGTCTTATGAAAGTGTGCCACTCCTGTGAGAGAATTTGTCAATCATGACAAATATAGAAGCAGTTCAAACAGATTTTCAGTTTTATAGATCACCATCCCATCTCCCATTCCTTCCGTCCTTCTGCAAATAGGAAACAAAACAAAGTCTTAGAAAAGAACAGATGCTGCATCATTAACTTTGATAAAACACACCTCCGCCGCCTCGGCAGCCAAGCCCGCGGTGTGTTTCCTCCGCCTGGCAAGCAGGTCACGAAGGTAAGCAGCCACAACATGAACTGCGAGCATCTGCCTTCAGATGAGCGTGTTACATCTAACAGCTGCTGTCTTTCACTTTCACATCTCACCTCCTCCTAATTAAATCATTTTCTCTGACGCCGTTTACAGCTGCATCTATTTTTACTCGGTCAATATTGCAACTTTCAAAAGGCCCTTGATCAGAGTGTCAAAAAAAAAAAAAACACATTACAGGATGGTAATTTGAGAACACATGAGCGAAATTGTACCTAGAGCTTCTGTCAGAGATGTAATAAGGAAAACTGTGTGTTACTGTTACATGTTAAAGAAGCACTGATGGAAATTTCCATCTGATTATGTAGTCTGATGCTAATATTTAGGAAGTTCCTTAGAAAAGTCATTTTGGACTCAAATCTACTTTGTATGCCTAACAACTGCCAAGTAATTAACTAATGCACACATACATCATGGTTCCTTATGTACTGCAGAGCCCCAATTATGCAAGAACTCCGGTATGAGCCAGTCAGACCAATTTCCTCATTTGTAATGACGGACAAAAGAGCAAATTAAAGAAACAAAGCAATGTAAACTTTAGCAGAATGTGATCAATTTAAGAACAGAATTGTGATTAACAGCATACAGAGAGCTGGACAATGTTTTTATTTCCTGTGAAAAACCCACAATCATTTACTGACTCACCCTATTACAAAAGTAAGAATCCTTCCCCATGCCAAAATATCCAGACAACACATAAAAGCAAAGCAATCCGAGCGAGAACTCCCCCCACCACCTCCTAAAAAATAAGCAAGCTGATAAATAATGGAGGCAAATGTTTGAAACATCAAGGGGAGGAGTAAGAGCAGCGACGCGTTTAGCCACAGGAGCGGGGATTAGGGGCTAGGCGTGGGTGGTAATCTGCGTGCAACAGAGACATCATCCTCATGCAAGGTCTGGGCCATCAGATATGGATAGAAAGTCTTTCTCTGGGAGCCTTATGCCACAATCCCAACCACTGCTGTGGCAGAATCACTTCTGTATTTGATGCAGAGTCAGTCAAAAGAAATATTTCCTCAGTGGCACTTAAATGTCTGGTTTGTGTCAGTATTTAAAAAAGAAAAACAAAGAGAAATTCACCTCTAGCAACTCCTTACTTTCATTGATGATATCTGGAAAGAACAGTGTACAGAAAGAGACTGTGCACAGAGTGCTTCGTTTCATCAATGTTAGTGGTCAATATTAGATAGTGAAAGATTAGAATATGTTGAAAAGCAGCCAAAGCAGGGAGATCATAAGATTGCACATGAGGGACATTCTAGGCAAAGCAGTGCTATGCTCTTGCACAGTAAACCTTTTATGATTACTAACTTTAATGATTGCAGTAGTATTAGTACATTCTTATCGTAGCAAGTTGAAAACAAAATTACTATTAAAACTTGTGATTGGGCGTTAAACATTTTTTGCTTCTTTTTTTATTAAACACATCGTCTCTGATGTGTTATGACAGACATGAGCAGAAAGTAAGGCAGTGAAAGTAAGACAGAAATATTTAAAGTGTCAAAGATCATCAAGGGTACCTTAACTCTGAATTATACAGCTGCACAAGGCATGCAGGGGGGAAACTACATGTGTATCCCATCTCAAACTCATATTGCCTGCCTTCTATTAGAAGTAAGTAAATGTCTAGCTGGATATTACGGCTCTTCCGAACGTTATTTTAATAACGTAGTAAATAAATGAATACATAATAAATGGAAATTTTATAAAAATAATATTAGACTAATTTAATCCATTTACATTCATGATTCTATTTACAGCAGATCCTTTCTTTTTGTTTATTATGCTACTTTTTAACTATTATAATATTAAGGAACAATGGTAATTAGAATGTCGTGTCAAGTTGACATGTTTTTGGGATGATGGTTGAATTTACCCTAAAACTGGCGAGTGGCTTTCAATCATCATTATAAATCCTTCTAAAACTGAAAATAGCAAAAATCAAGAATGTGACTCTTTAAATTTTTGAGTTTCTATTGACTTCACTGGATTAAGATCTATCAAAATTTGCTAATATGTACAAAAAGTGCCAGGTCAAATCAGTGACGGTAAATACATATATGCCACTGGTTAATTCAGCTATAGAAAGAACACATTTTTCAGTCATGCTAATAAATGGAAGACTTTCTTACTGGTCACATCTCCATTTACTTGGGCTTTGTAATGAGGGCACATAGTGGTTTGTCTTGGAGCATCTTCATTAGAAACTGGACTCCCTTCAGGATTGGTGTAAAATAAAAGAAGAGGTTGAAAATGTCCCCTGATACATTTTGAAGCAACATCCTTCCATTTGGATCCAATCTAGTAAACAAGAAAAAAAAAAAACTTAGAAAAGAGAATGTATGTAACGCACTGTCATAAAAAATAAAAAAGAAAAGATTGAAAAGGTCTAATGGCAGACATCCTGACCTCCTTTACAGTGGCATCGTCAAAAAACATCCATTTTGAAGATTTGGTGTGATAGGCGAAAGCTGAGTAATGTTTGCTGGAGAAACAGATCATCCCCACCAGATGTAGCTCGCTGCGTTTGGCGTTTTCATCAGTGACTCGGTTGAAAAGCTGAAAGACGGTATATTTGATCACTCTCAGCCAGATGTTAAATCCACTGAGTTTTCAAGTGTATCCTTGTTTGTATGTAGAATTACAGATATGGATCTCTCATCCTAAAAATTGTTACCTTCCCACATATCAGGATCAATGAATGATGATTTGCTACTTTGTGAAACGAACATTCATATCTTGAATTCAAACTTGTTTTATTTCGTTTACAAGCATTTAATAGTGGGAGTTGGACTTTTCAGCTCTTACCCCGCACAAGTTCAAACGTGGACCAAGGGACCTGATAACATCGTCCGTGAGGTCAGACTGCTCTGCGTCCCACACAAATCCAATAGTGACGATCTCCGGACAGTTCATGAGGACACGACGGATTTTGATGCTCTGTCCACAGTCACTCTGCAAAACATTGGACAACAAAGACATCCACAGTAACATCAATGTATCGACGGGGGTGGGAGGGGATGAGCTTACACTACATAAACACTGGATTCACAAATAGGAAGTGATTTTTTATTTCAAATGCTCTTGAAAGCACATATTTACATATACATTTTGAAAAGAGTCAAGGAAACAGTTAACTTTTGTTTTTTGTCCGTTAGACTCATCCAGCAACTTCAAAGATGTTTCGGTGGTTTTCAGATACAACTGTACCATTATATAGAAACAGGAATGTTGTTTAGCCAAAATAAACAACTAAAAAGGAATCTCTTGTGAAATAACACTGTTAATATCCACTAAGGTATTGCTATAACCTTTTGACATGAACATTTTCACCATTAGTGCTTTCATATTGCTTGTCAGGTAAAATGATTGGTATCTATCTGACTACTTGTTAGCATTCACCACTCTGAGGACATCCTTACTTTACAACAAGCACATGTAAGACAACTTTTTACTTCTGGAACTATTGCAGATGACTTCATAGGATCTCACTTTAAAACATATGAACTAACCCTATAACGTCCGGATGACAACCGCTTTGTCATCCGGACGTCCACTTTGATTAAATAGTCGTCAAAAACAAAAACACAGCAGTCTGTTTACTGTGAGTTTCTAAGCTGCATGCACACATGAATCATCAAACAATCAATCCACTGCTGACAAAAGCAGCAGTGTCGCTCTTTCCTGCAGGCCAGTTCTAAGTTCTGCTGCGTTGTCCAGCCTCCACCTCCAAGCAAGCACACCCTATTTCATGCATTCTCACTCCGACAACTCAGAACGTGGGCTTCCCCCTCAGTTGGTGATGCAGTTTCTAATTACAAGTTATCTGATATTTAAAGATAATCTCCTAGGTGAAACCCACAAATAAAAAATGAAGGACATTATTGAAACAGTATGTAATTTATAGATTTACAACTTAATGTCTGCTCCATCAAATATATATTTGAAAACTAAATTTCTGCCTTTTCTATCCCAGAAGATAGAAAAGAGAGAGAAAAGAGTAGGAAAACCCATTTCATTAGAAGCGGGCTGCACCTGAATAAGATTCAGGAAGATTCATGGGAACAGAGCAGTAAGCTCCACTAAGCTAATACAAGCTGAAAGGGAAGCAAAGGGAGGACATTCAGATGAGAGAAAAACAAGGATAAGCCTTAACACTATTTCTATCCTTACTCTAGTTTTGCATGGTCTCCTTTCAGACCTTGAATTGCACTAAGGTGGAAAACACTGACAGTATTCTGCACCACTGGAAAAATCATTTCTGTGTTTGCCTTTTGTTACCACAAAACTGTGAAATGGATAACCAAACTGTGAATATTTAGCTTTCATTATTGTTTTAATTCAGCTGAATGTCTTTCTCGACATCTAAAAATACAAACATACTGAGCGATCCCATATTAACGCATGCAGACATAATCAATAAGTTAGAATCTCTGGTTTGAGGAGACTAATTACAAGAACTTTTTCAAAATAACCTTTCAGGAAGTCTTAAAGATACTTTTCATTAAGGCCAGATTTCTCCATAAAATGTTTTTTTTTTTTATTGGTCTGATGTAACATTCTAATTTTAAATGCAGTGTCTTCTTTAGATATAAGAAGTGCTTAGACGAACACATTAGACTGTAAACATATTTTCTTAAAAAGAAAAAAAAAAGCATAACATACAGGGCAGCTTCGTAGGTCACCGGTGCTGTTTGCCGCCTGCAGCAGTTCCCCAAACATGTCTGACCTGAGACGCTCGTTCTTCCCCAGTGTCCGGTCAACCTGTTGACTGAGCAGAGACACACGGTACGTCTATAGATTATAGTCTGTTTGGGGTTAATTCACAGAAACATCTCAGAAACATTTATGCTATTTCATTTATTTCTATATTTTTTTTCATCATTTATAGATGGGGTGTAAAAACTGTTGGAAAAGGCTAAAATAAACTCACATTCTATAAAAAAACATGCAAAAGGAGATTGCAATCACATATAGAATGAAAAATATTATAGTTTTCTTAAATGTCATTTTCCTAACTGAGAAATTGTGTTTCTGCCGTTTTCTTCCCTTTTTATTTGCAATAAAACTCTCAGTAGGCATATGCAGGGTTTCATGAATCAAGTTATGCATATTTTTTTTTAATGTAATGCCTTGAAAATTACAGTAGCTCTATTTTATACTGTTATGATGGCTGAAAATAATTTTGGTGGAATAAAAAAGAAAATGTTGCAGTGGCCGGAGTTTAAGATATAAAGTAACACGGTGCTGTTGAGCGCTGGTGGTTTGTTGGTTGTAATATGGAGCCCACCAATTTTCCCTGGAAGTAATGTAGGAATAACTCACATATTAATTAGACATTATTAAAAATTTGATTACATTTTTTGTGTCAAAAAGTAACAACAACCCAATAGAGTTTCACGATTTAAAAATGAAATCTCTTACTCAAACTGTCGTTGCTTTCTAATGGTTAAAGCATGAAAATGCATGAATATATTTTACTGTACTCACCATAAAGCCGTGGTCGATACATAATGAACAAACTCTGTGAACGGGTGTGGATCTGAAGATGCACCACAGCAACGACACACAAACTGTGAAACAAAGCATGTCACTATTTTCACATAAACATGTACAAATTACATAAGAATTACATTAGAGACTAATTTTACATTTCGTAACAATATCCATATTTTCGTATGTTTTTCTACACAGTGTTTGATTCATTCAGAACAGATTTCAGTGCCTTGTGGGAGTTCATGTCGTTACTGATTTTACGTACCTGTTCGTAAAGCATCATAGCAAATTTTTGATGGGTGATGCAGGATTTGGATGAGCACGCATCGGTTGGTGTGTCTGAAACTATGTGCAAATGAATTCGCTCCAGGATGTTCTCCTGTTTGTGCAAAATAGGAGCAGATTATAAGGATACCAGTCAAATTTCTGTAACACAAATCCAATACGCGAGGTAAAAAATAAAGTTAAACAATGATTTTATTGTTGTCTCTTACACCAACGTTTAGATATAAAGTGAAATGCCAAAAATAATTTTTGTATTTTATAATACACAAATAGGTTTAAAGGTCCTTGAAATATTATTTTGAACAGAAGCCAAAGTGACAAATATTACAAAGCACTCAGCGGCGTCGTCCATCAGCCCGAGTTGGAAGCGCTGCTCGTTCTTAAAGGTTTCAGCGAGGGCGTTTCGCAGGCTGTCAGAGGGCAGGACTCGCTCTCTGCTCTGCTGGAACTGGTTGAATATACTCTGAAAGAGTGTTTTTTGTGAGAAATATTTATGCATCCGAGATAAATAAAAAATAATACATGTAAAATCCATGGCCAGCCTAACGTTATTCTGTCTCGATTTTTAAGTAACCTTACCTTTAATGCACAGAAAATACAGGCATCACCGAGACAAAAGTGGCCGGAAAGCTGCCTCAAGCTCCTCCTGAAGATGTCCAGCTGCCAAAGCACCTGCGGAGGTTCAAAATTAGATCAATGACGGTAAATAAAAAATATTTCATTCAAAAATCTGAACGCACTGTTACGACACAGATTAGTCACACCATTTTCTGACTGGAAGACCGGTTTGTTAATTGATTATTTCTAGAAATTGCAAGGGAATTGTTTGGAATGGTCTCTCTGAAGTCCCGACCACAACTCCACTAAACATTTGTGGGATGTAACTGACCAACAGAACCACATTGGTGGATAAAGAAATATGATGCCATCCCACAGCAGTGTCTGACCATATTCAAGTTTTTTCATATGTTCTATTCTTTGTCCATTTGGATTTAAATTCCTGACATCAGTGTTTTTTATTTCTGTCTGGCTTGTATTGTTTTTCATTCTCAGTTCAACTGCTTGAGAAATCTTAATAAGTTTATTGTTTTGAACCAAAACTATTGCAGGCATTACAAACTGTGACTTCAGTGATTTCTGAACTGCTATTCATAGGTTCATTTGATAGAGTTAACTATATTTGTCTCCAGCTGACTGCTTGGCAACCCCGGCTGATGAAGCTGAAGCTGAGCTGATTCTAGACACTGGCCAATCGATTGGTGTGTCTCAGCTTTTGTGTAGCGAACAAAGCCTGCAAGTTAAGCCAAACCCGCACAACGCTAACACAAAACACAGCGGCTCACTCAGCTGCAAGCAATTTTTTGGCCAATTACCTCTGAATTGCTGGTGTGTGCGGAATTCAGCAGCAAGTCAGGCTCATCGTTAAAACAATATTGAAAAAAAAAAATAGTGCTAAACTCACTCCACGTGGGAGTTAAAAAAAAAAATCATGAATGCTGATTCTCACCTGAACAGCGCTGTTAAGGAAGCAGCTGTTCTGGCCGGGCTCGTTCAGCAGACCTTTAGTTAGCGCGAGAGACACCATGCTCCCAGGTTGGTAGGACTTCTTCAGGCCTCCTCCGGTTTTTTTGAACTTCTTCACCCATGCCATGGAGTTAGAACCTGCAGCTGAAGAAAAACTCTGTTTGCATCCTCTGTAGTGAGGTACAAAGAAACACTTTGTACTGTATCCAATAGTGTTTTCATCCTGGAAGGATGACACCCACTGAGTGTGCACGCATTCTGTAAAGCAAGGGCTTTCATTGCTGTGACAAGAACAGACAATTGATTCGTGACATGACGGGGGCCTTAGACGATTAATCCGGTTCATCTTCAACACAGTTCATTATGCCAGTAACATGATTCACCCAGTCTGGTGATCTGTGAGAGGAATGCCTACCACCAACCTTCTCCAGAGTTGGCAGGAGACTTGCTGCAGCCGGACATGTTGGAACATGGGAGCTGGTCCTTGGGTGTGGCCACTGACTCCGTCCATTTTACCCCCACGCACCTCCACGGCGGTTCGTGGAAAGCATGTCCAGGATCAGCCACAGGGCAGCCTAAGACACGTGCTACTGTGCATTGAACACCAGCTGGAGGAGGAGAGGAAGAGCTGGGCTGCATTTAAACAATTTTTAAACTCTTAGACAGCCGTACATTCTGGAAGAAAACCCATACTAATGCTTACAAATTTAGGTTTACATACATTATTGACTAATAATTTCTTCTCTTCATTCACAGACAATGCACAGATCTTGCTCAAAACTCTGTTTTCAAACTTTAAAGAAATCAAGTTTGCTCACAAATAGGCTCTGGTTCCTTTTAGCAACATCCGTTTGTGCCCACATTCATTGACTTGTTCAACATTTGTCTGCTACCATTTGAGTCATGCAGCTTGTTCTAGGGTAAAAGCTGCATTCTGATATCTGAACACCCTAAAGCAAATTATTTTATTACTGCATTTTTTTAGGATGATGCTTTTGATTGTGAAACTCCATCTGAGGATGTAAAAATTGCCCTAAATTGGAAAATGTATGCTCTTTTTTATTTTTATATTATTTTTGTTTTTAAAAAAAAGTATTATATTTTTCAAATTTTGCAATGCTTTGCTCGAGAGATTGTTCAAGGGTAAAATTGTTGTTTCACACAGGAGGGTCATTGGTGATGCCCCGAGACCACGCAATCTAGATTTACCCTAAAAAAACATGCTAATAGAGTAAAACTTTGCACGATATTAACTGCTTGTATGACTTTAAATTAACCTCAAATGGATAGTCCATTATTATTTAGAAGTTGAAATTACCATGCCTCTAGTTGTGGAACTGAACAGAACAGTGGGAATTTCAAGTGGGAAAGTCTGAGGTTTCTCACCAACTCCCAGCTTCAAAATCCAACATGGCCGCTTTGCATATGAAATGCAGTTTAATTGTTCTCCTAACGATTTGTATTTCACTCAATCTTTCTTATTCACAGTACTGTTTAACTGTCTAACTTTAGTTAAAGGTGTGGCCAACATTTGGACATTTGCAGACTACACTATTATTAGCTCACATTGCTAACAGTCACAAGCTTGGTCAGTATGCATATGCAATTATTAAATCCCTCTGCATTTCGAACTTTGGATTGAAGCACAGCTAAGCTGAGTTTGATGTCTTTCCTAAATTGAAATTGTCACTTCAGAAACAAAATGCAACGCAGTTTAAGTGGCCACTTACACACATTTCTTTTTGATTCCTTCATTTCATATTAGACATTCTTGAAATATATTTTTCTCAGATTCTCTTAAGAATTTTTTAATAAAGGAAAGATCAATGTGCTTGGGCAACATATCTTATTGTCTACTAAACCTCATTGTTTCTACATCACTTTGTGTTTATCTTACAAATATTTGATGCTAAATAATCTCTGGTTTTCAGAATACCACTAGAGGCAGCATCTAGTGCAGGGGTGGGCAACTCCAGGCCTCGGGGGCCGGTCTACTTCAACACACCTGAATCAAACAATGAGGTCATTAGCAGGACTCTGGAGAACTTGACTGCACTTAGGAGATGATTCAGTGATGTAATTCAGGAGACCAGGGAGACATCCAAGAGTTGCAGGACAACTCTTGGATGTCCTGCATGCAAGAGTTGCAGGACATTGGTCCTCGAGGACCACCATTGGTCCTCGAGGACCACCATTGGTCCTCGAGGACCAGCATTGCCCACTGATAGAAGGAAAGGCAGATGGGTGGGATGGTGATAACGTCCTACAAACTGAATATGGTTTCAAATGGTGGTTTAACAAAACCAGTTAGTTGAAGGTTGCTGCAGTGAAAATAAGGCAATGCCAACTAACGCATAAAGCACATTGCAGCATTTTAATTCTCCTCCCTGACATATGTGTTTGTTTTTCTGTTGAGTTGTGTAGTATTTATGTCACATCACAAAGACCTGTTCATAGCACCATGGTCAATGTTTATATGTTGCTCCAAATCTCCAAATAAAGTTTGTCGTCTTGCAATTAAATTTTTGCACAGTTGTTTTAATGGTATTATTTCTGAAATTCAATTAACTTTGGAACTTAACCAAAGATTCTCTGACCTGAGGAGGAAATATATATAATATATATATATATATATATATATATATATATATATATATATATATATATATATATATATATATATTATATATATATAATTTTTCCATCTCACTCAGTATTATAATTAAAGATAATTGACTTGAACACATTGGGGTGGTTAAAATACTTTACTCAGGCCTCGGTTGGTTTTAACTCAACGGGTTTTTTTTATAGTGCTTGGTTAGAATAAATGGCTGGATTAATAATAGAAAGTTACTTGACAAACTTCAAATGACATAAGTATGATCAACTCTGAACACGTAGCTCAGCAAAGCAGCAAAAAAATAAGATTAAGAAATGCTGAATCTAATTTAATCAAAGTTGTTTTATTGTATTTTATTTTATTTTGTGCACCAAAGACAAATGGTTCAGCATTACTTCACGTGTCAAGCACCTACCATGTGACGCTTTTAAAGGCCTATAATGTTTCCGATAATCGAGCATCTTTGTTTTGTAGTTCAAATAGGGGGCATGCATACTTTATTGAACGAGATTTAACGACCGGATCCTCTAATTCTCCGCTTTTTAAGCTCATAAAAGCTTCAACCAGCGCGCTGTCACTGTCTGATTCTCACTGCCGGTGTCAGAACAGCCTTTATGTGCCGTCCAGCTCCTTGCTCGGCCACACAGCCACAAATAAATATGCCGCAACTTGCATTTCTGCCTCCAGGAAGGCAAAGCAAACGCCGCCGCGCTCACCTCCAGCAGCGGCGGGCGGCTCTCTCCCACTGAAGTCTCGCAGGGCGCTCCAGCTGTCAACGCGCCAAAATCCCGCGACTTTCCCCCCCGGAATGCTGATAACAAACCCGGGCAGAAATCACTGCAGATGTGGGATCCGGGGCGCATGTAGCGGTACTATCCGTGCAGGATTCTCAACTCCTCCTTCCCCAGCCTCGGTGTGGTGCCGACCGTGTAGGACACGAAATTTCTCTCCCTCCTGTTTCTTTTTTTTTCTCTTCTTTCTGAAAATGCTGTACCGATGCTTGGCCTGTGCCAGAATGTCCAACGCGGATTAGTGATGTTTTGAAATTTGGAGAGGTCAAACTCCGCCCCTAGTGTCGCCTCAGGTGCACTGCCGCTCCACTGCGATCCTCAGTCCCTGCATGGAAAACTGAGAGCCGGAGGAAGGTCAGACTTCCAACTTGTCATGATGGTGATGAGAGAAGACATCACATGACCGCACTGGTTTCATAATCATGCAGCATTGTGGGGACTAACCCCTTCCTGTTTGGTGGAGAGGCTCTCAGTGAAACGTCAAAATCGACATTCAAATTTTAAGGGAGAAGTGGATAACAGGTATAAACAGATGAGAGCAATAAATATGCATTTAAAAAAAATAAAAAATACAAATTATATCACAAGTTACATAAAGCCCAAAAGATGCTGATCTGTTATCACAATTTTCTATTGAGCTTTTGAAATTTGTAAATGTGCACTGTCGATAGCTGAGGGACTCTGATGCTGCAGTAAGCAAGATAGAGTATTGCAAAAAAAGAAGAAAAAAAAGAAAGATAGAAAAAAAAAGAAAATATGGGGCAGATGGAGAGCCTGGCAGGGAAAGGCTGCAGAGCTTCGCAGGTTATAAGTGGAGACAAGAGGACTGAAAGAAGCTGATGCAAGCTGCAGTCAGCAATAGTCCCACTGAACTGTGTGTCTTATTCAAACAGATTTTGGTGCTTCTCCGTAAAACTACAAGGATACAGAAAGGTGAAAAGTGGTGCCCAGGTAAACACAGTAGCTTGTAAAATTAACAGGACCCTGGGAACTTAATCTGTAGATTCTGTTGTGGTTTTATATGAAAGTGTTGTAGAATCCTGAAGCACCAGGAAAACTACATGTGATTTTCTTTGGTTTCTTTTTGGTTTTCTTTATGACTAACATAGTTTTGTGAAACAACTTTTCATCTCAAATATGATCGATTTACTTGAGTAACTTTTTGAAAAAGAAAAATCTGATTCTAGATTTAACTTTATTACACTTTACTTTTTACCCTTCCTTCAGTAAAGTTAATATGAAGTATTGCTTCTCTTAAATGAATTACATTTTCTTCCCTTAACAATGACGTTTTCAACAAAAACACACATGTAGCTTATGCTGAGGTGAGGCATCTTATTTATACACCAACTTAATTTGTCTGTTATTTCTATGTGGTGAGCCTGCTGTGCCATTTGAGATCAAGTGAAAATAAAATAAACAGTAGATATAATAATTAGAGGTATCTTGTCCTGTTCTAACAGCTACACCCCACCTGCTGTATTTGTTTTATGACTTCTATGTAGAGAATATTTTGAAGTTCCTTCTGCCCAAATTTGATAATTGTTGTCATCTTAAACTACCAGAATTTGCTAATAATATTTTTATCTGTCTGTCATGTTTAAATATAAAATAAACTATTATTAGTTACTCACAACTTAAATAACCATACAAAATACTGTTTACTCATACTTCAGAAATGTCTTGGATAGCTACTCTTTACTTTTACTTGAGTAAAAACATGTCGGGATAGCGGTGCTCTTATTTGCGTAAAGTTTTGATTAGGCCTACTCAACCCACCAAAGACTAAACCCACTAAAGGCTAGGTTCTAAGTTCTCCTTAAATTAAATTCAAGTGCACTTAGATTGCATGGTGAATCTCTGTGAAGGTCGATGTTTTGATCTTGTAAGGGTTGCATTTCAAACTATTGAGTGGGACACTCTTCTCACAATTTTCATTACATCAGTGCTTTGGTTTTGCTATTCTTCCAGAATACCCAGCACCGTGGTGCAGAACTAAGGGTTGTCATCTCAACAGATCCCCCCATTTATTCCGTTAAAGTTTAGGTCTTCATATAATTAAACGTGAAACTCTAGTTTCTAGTTTTGTATCTTTCGCACATTTGCATATGTGGGGATCAGAAAGGGCTGTAAAAAAATCAGAGCCAAAGTCATTTTTGTAAAAACTAAGATTGAATGAGTTGAACTGAGTTAGTCATTTAGTTAACAACAAAAGGGTGGGATGTGAGAACTAAAATAAATCATAAATCAATATGAGGCCAATTTGCTGATGCCCTCATTTAGTTTTACGTAAACTATCTTGGAGTCCAAGTCAATTTCAACAGTGTCTGGGATTGCTGGAGAACAAAAACCAACCAGAAACATTTATATTTATTCAAAGATTGGAAGACGTACAATATTTTCTTTCCTTCTGAAACATTTATGTGGAAGAGACAAGTATGTGCAATCTGCAGGGAGGAATGGATGTGTGAAAACAGCACAAAGAGTTTGTCGGCTTATTTTAGTGACACTGCATATTTTTATAACGTCAAATGTGTTAGTGCTATAAACCTTGAAACCTCCCCTGGGACACATAAAGAGATGTTTTTATATTATTTATAAAGTAAGTCTGCAGAAGGGGAAAAAATGTTCTTGATATTTGTCTTGCCGGATGCGGAACACCAGAACTCTTTTCAGATCAGGCGTCAAAGTCAATACTGATGTTCTAAAGGCTATTTTTGGAGATAGATATGTCTGTTTTATTTTTATTTCTAATTTTTTTCCAGGTTTCTGTGAACTGCTAAGCCATAATGTAGATGCAGAATCCACGTGCAGTCTCTACAGACTCGTCAGTTTTTGTTGTAGATTCCTAAAGTTTCTATTTTATTATTAAAAAATGACTCTCAGCACAACCACATTTATTGTGGTTATGTTTGCTTTCCACCATGTACCATAAATATCCGCACATGCCCTTTTCAGATATTTATATGTGAAAAATGTTGAAATTTATTTTTATTTCACTGTATTGTTATACACGGCTTTATGGTGGCCTGTTACATAAAATATCAATAGAATACACTGAATCTGTGGTTGTAACATAACAAAATGTTAAAAGATTTGCTGTTAAATGCTTCTTTCATCATTGATTTTCAGATTGACCCACCCTGATAAATACAATTTTGCTCATGGTAAATGCTTCCCACATTAGGCACAAGACTTCATCTGAAGAACCAAATGTTTTGCACTTAAAAAAGAGGCTAAAATAAACTTATTTTAATCCTTTATTGTTGCTTGAACTACTCAGACACAATGTTTTGAACATGACAACAAAATGGCTCAAGTACATACAATATACAGTATGACAATGATGAAAACTTACTGCGTTTTAACACAAAATAATCATCTGATTAACAAGTCTTAAAATTTAGTAGAACATTTCTGAACTAGCAGAAATGCACAACAAAAATCACTGCCTGTTGCACAATCCAATTGCCCAAATAACTACTTTATTAGAAATCTGTGTGATAATTTATGGCCTTTCGCCTGTTCTTGTAAAGGTCAGAACTAAGTTTATGTTCAAAGGTTTTCTAATGAGTTTGTCCAAAACTTCAGCACCAAACATGTCAAATGAGGCCTGTGGAGTCAATGATGAAGCTCTTTGGAGTTTTACCATTTTTTTATGTTCTGGTTCATCTGACAGAGGAACCTTGGATGTCTGTTACTGTGGACACTAGAAACTGTTTGGAATATTTTCCAGATTGCTCCTTACTCCAGGCTCACATTGTGTTAAAAGTGCTGCAGACATTTCAGCCCCCAAAGCTTCTCCTTTCATAGACACATGCTGTTGATCTGACACTGAAGTGCACTTGATTAGCAGCACCTGGCTGCTGTTTATCATATTGCTGTTTACTTTCTCGCGTTTTGGCCTTTGGTTTAGTTTCCTGTAAATCACATCCAGTGTAATGAACTTGTATTTAAGGTTGCTCTACCCGGTGTGTAGGACCTGGATGAACAAGACGATAGGAAATATACGTCCTGCTTTTACTCAGAACACTTATTAGATTAATCTTAATCTAATCTAACATTTTGATGTTGCTTTGGTGCTTAATTGTATCCAGGAGTCATAGTTGAAGACATATTATATACTTTTATATACTTTTCCCGCCCCCTGAAAACTTCCACTAAATGATAGATGATGATGACTTTATTGTACAGAGCGTATATCCAAATGTGCAAATGTTATGTACATAAAATATTCATCTTATCATTTGAATATTGTTTATTTACAGCCTTCTTACGGATATTGAATGTAAATTTTGTAATGCGTCATTAAAATAAATACTACTGTCAGAAAAAAGGTAAGTTAACTTCTCTGTCAAGTTCAATGGCTATAATATTAAAAGCTGCAAAGAAATTACAGTGGTGAGACTAATAGGCTCCCCTCCTTTGTCCCGTTCTGCAGGTTGATCTTGATCACTAAAGGCTGCGTTGTGTTCCCATGTTCCAGTAGAATCCTCTACAGGTCATCAGACTCCGGCACACTGAAGGACTCCATGGTGATGGTTGGTAGGATGAGATGACTGCCCTCAGACATCCACCCCTGGGCCGTCCTGTTGAACGTGGGCCGCCTGGCCTGGGGATCGCTCAGCTCCTGGTACTGCGGCGGGTTCAGGTCCACCTCAGCGAGCTTGAATGTAATTCCTCTTGGAGCTTTTTCAAAACCACCATAAGGAGTGGCGACCCTGCAGTTCAGATCGACGCACCGTTTGCTTTGCATGCCATAACCTTCCCTTTTGGATTTATAAATTTACTGTAGTTTTCTCACCGGTTGAAGCATTTATATTCAGGGAGCTCCTGCCGCTGCTCTGGCTCTGGCATTCGGAGTTGCAGAGATTCAGCGAGGTTGGGGTCGCTAAGGATCACCTGTTCCCACGGTGAGTGATAAGTCTTATGTACAGGCCTGGTGTCCAGCTTTTCTGCAGCCATGTTTGCGGAAAAAGAGAGACAAATGTGACAACTGCTTTCATATCACAACAGGCTGATCTATCAGTTTGGATTGCCGACAAGGACTTTTTGTTTTTTTCAGAGCTGTTTTTCTGCAGCCTGAAATTTTCAAAGTGGATGAGATGAAAATAGCTACAGTGGCAACTTAAAATAGAACATTTCAAGTGTGCGCTCATTGTATAATGAGTTAAGGCTTCACCAAAGCATTGCAAAAGGACTGCAGGGCTTTAAAAATGGTAACAATAAGTAGGACTCTCCAGTTAAATCACCTTTATGGACAGCCTTAAGATGAATCAATTGTCAGAAAATAAAACCAGATAAAACTGATAATAATTTATGTTATTGTTTCAATCACACTTATTTTGTCAGTTATATTTATTTTTTATAAATATTTAAAAGTATTCTTGGATTGAATCATTTGTGTTCGATGATGTTATTGCTCGTGATGGTGATTATTAATGTTGTTGCTATTATTGAGTGCAAGCTGAAGTCTTTAATATCCACATGTAAGGAAACAGGCGTAATGAAGTGCACAATTACCCGAAGCTGAATTTGCAGCGCTTCCATTTGCTGGTGGCTCCACCTTAATTTCCACAGAGTGTGTGTTCTGATTCAAAATATCATTCTGCAAAACAGCACATTAGGTAACTTCTAAAAGGCTATAGTATCAGACATTTTAAAATGTGCATTGCTTCGTGGCTTCATTTCTATAGATTAAACCAAGAGACCAGTTCCAGCCCCACAGCTTATCATCATGCACTGATAAACATGGTAGCAGCTCTTCAAGTTAAGTGCCTAAGCAGCCTCACAGATGAAACAGCTGCAGCTTGTCACAGCTATTGCCTGTGTGTTCGACCACTTTATCTCAAAGAGCATATTTCACTTAGAAAACAGAAAGGAAAAAAACCCCTACACAGATCTACACAAGAAATTCATAGCGTAGACAAGATTGGATTCTGTCTAATCATTTAAAGAGATTTAGAGAAAAAGAAGCGGACTTACATTCAGGAGAGTGTTTGCTTCGTTTTGAATGCTTTCAAATGTGTACTTCTCAGACCTCCTCTGTCTCATTTTGAAAAGCCGAGAACCTCTGTTGGAGAGCAGCGACAGCTCCTCTAGCATGATGTCTTTGGGAGTGCTGAGCTTCTTTCCCAGGTCCATGACTCCTGACACCCAAAAGAATTTGTTCATTGATTTTGTACATAATATTCCCAGCAGATCATTATGCCAACACCTGACAGATGTGGTTGACAACAGCATAAACCAAGGAAATGATCAACTATCAGTCAAAAATACCTTCTGGGTGAATTGAATTGCAACTCAATGAAGGACCAGGGAATAAAATGAGATAAATTTGAATTGTGTGTGGGAACAAAAGTTACATTTATCCCAAATTAAAAGCAAGGATTATGTGTATAGCACACTTCAAGACCAAGGCAGTTAAAGGTGCTGCACATGAAAAATCCAATCAACTAAGAAAAAGAAAGAAACATTGTATCACAGTGGCAAAATAAAGAGAAGTAATGAAAGGTTGTACTTATCATTTATCAAACCAATGAGTTTGTAGCCTTGATTTAAAGTTACTTGGTATCTGACTACTTTTGCAGTTTCTGGAAGTTTGTTCCAGATACATTAAAAAATAATAATATATAGCTTTTCTGGCCAGCAGTTTCAAAATCCGTACTAAACTAAGAGCAGCACTAAATTAAGTAAAAGCAAAAATATAATAAAATATAGTGGAAACACTACTCAATTGATGAATAACTGTCATAATGTCTGATTCATTTTGTAGAAACCATGTAGTCGCACAAATTATCACACTTTAAAATAATAAATATAAAAAAATGCTGAAACTTCCTAACCTCTTTATTAAATTCTGATTAAGGCACAAGTTAAACAAACTTCTTCCTTTTTTTTCTTTACAAAACAAACTTCAAAACCTTACATCAAAATTATTCAAGTAAGGGAGCTGAATGGTGAAGTAAAACTACTTTTGGGAGCACAAGAGAAATATTACTTGTGTAAACTGAGTAAGTAAAACTTTGCAGCCCAGCTCTGGGTGTGTCTGGTGGAAAACCGAAACTACAAAAGACCCTGAATGCCTCGCCCTCATGACAAAACATGGAGATAGATAATGAACTTCCAGACCTTCCATCAAAGAACAAATATGTGCAGCCAAACCAACAACTGGGTTGAATCAAATATATTTATGCACTGGAAGGGGTTAGTCAAAGTTCAGATGCGAATAAATGACAAATATTTGGTAAGATTTCAAATTGATTTTCACAAAAACAATCTATCCAATGTCAGTAAAACTGATTTTACACAGTGAGATGGGAGAAATTTACTGTCTAGATATGTAATGCTGGTAAAATCAGATCCCAAACACTCTCAAGCTATATAGGCTGTAAAATGTGTTTCTATAAAGCATTGACACATGCGGGCTAAATAAATGTGCATGGAGAACTTTTCAGGTTTTTGTGTGAAAATATTTTTGAAAGCATTGCATAATTTTGCTTCCACTTTACAGCTAATTAAATATTTTTCATAGTCATTTATTGGGTGAATTTTAAAAGTTTTTTGGATTAAGCTGTGCTGAGATCTGTCTAAATTATCTCTAGTTGAATTTCAAATGACTTTTATCAAAATTTAAATTTTAACCAAATAAAATTTTATCAAAACCCTCCCAGTTTCTATTTCTATCTCGAGTCCCGTTTCCAAATTAAGCCATCACTGTGCTTCAGCTTAGTTTTTGGGTACAAGATGTTTCCTCATTCACGTGCGCAGACAGAATGCGCCCCAGCTGTTGCAGACCTTCATGTTCCCCAGTCAGCTTCACAGTTGCTCTGAAAAAGCTCCCGTCCCATCTTTCACCAACACTCCCACCCAGTTAGAAATAGCCTATAGTGAAAGAACAACGACAACGGATTAGGCAGGCTTCACAATAAATCATCCCAGTGTATTTATGGATCACACTGGTCAGTAGCCCTGACATTTTGAACGCTGCTGTTTTGCTCTGACCTCTTATCGCAACATGGAGCGCTGTGCACACACCGTCTGCGTGCCTCTTCCTCTCGCTCCTGCGTGTCTCTAGCTACGAACTAGAGACATGCAGAACATTAAAGAGCCTTTAACAGGACAGATGAGTCTGCTGTCGTGAGTGAGCAAAGAAAGACAATAATTCTGTGCTACATCTTGGGTTTTATGAAAATAACAAATTAAGTTTTGTATAATTTTCCAATTTGGAAAAATACAAATTTTTGAAGTGCTGGAGTGATGTCACCATAAAGAAAGATGCATAAAGGCTGGAGAGAAACTTTCAAGGTTAAGGCATCAGTTCACACTGCTGAGGTACCTGGGGTCTTAAAATTATTTGAATGTGCAGAGGAAAGGTTGACAAATACATCGTCCCACTTCAAATAATTTACAATTTTTCACATGAAAAATTATTTATTTTACCCCAGTTTAAGGAAAATGAAATTTGGTTGTAACTCAAATGCTTACAAAGTCATGAATTAAAGCTAATTTATGAATTATTGTGGTTGAATCTGAGCTGAAATGTTCAATCAATTTCGGTGAATTCATTGAAATTTTGTCCATGGTTGCCTTTGAATGCAAAATTAACTTTGGTCCCTGGTATATAAAAGAAATATAAATCTGGTTACCGTAAAGCACAATACTTTTCTTCTCATTTTGAGCCTAATTAGGCTTTACCTTCAATTTAAAGCAAAAACTTTTAAAATGATAACTTCTCATGTTGATGCAATTTTCTCTTAAACAAAACTCCAGAATTAAAAAAAAACTACTCAAAATAAACTAAATAAAAAGCCCACTTAAAACTTGTTTAAATTTATAATATGTTTTAAGAAGAAGAAAATGAGGAACTTTCTGATCTGAACTTGAAAAAGTGAGTGATCCCCCAAAGCTAATTCTGCTCGAGCTCTCATACAGTGTAAGGCTCTTTCTCATTTTACTTTTATAAAATGTATTGATACAGTAAATCAGTATTTTGCAGATTGCAAAAAAAAAATCAATCTGTCAGCATATCTCATAATATTAGAGTGTTTGCTATTTTACAATAATAGAATCTACATAAAGCTTTTAATATCTATATAATCACATTTCAGTTCCATCTTCTTTTGTGGCACTGCAAGCTAAACTCAGCGACATGCTCATTTAAATTTGTTAGAGGTTAAATTACCAGTCTGAAAGGTCAAGGATTAATTGTGCCCTAAGTTTGTGTAAGTTGCCATGCATAAAACATGTCCACCAGTGCCAACAGAAGCGTTCAAACATTAGGTCATTGTTGGTGAAGTCCATCTTTTCATTTTGCTATTCGACTACAGAACTCAATGCTAGTTTGTAAAATAGCTAAATAATAGTTAAATGCTTTGTTGTGTTCATTTACAGGAATTGTAACTAAAGAAACATTTTACATGCAAAACAGCAAGTAAGTCTGGAGCTGTGTGAAATGAGCAGATGAAACAAAAACAAAAAAAAGACGTAAAATCTGGAAATTTGCCTTTAGTTTCTACCCAACTTAAATGTCACATACAGCTGGATTCATGTTAACCCCCTGAAGCACCACTCTCCATTATTGCAGATTGATTTTAGTTCTTATTGAAGAGCTCCTTTTTGAGACGCGCCCGTACCTGTCGTTGTGTCCCTGCTGTGCAGCCCGTATCCTTGAAGGGGAGACACGGAGACGAGGGGGTCAGTGGTGTGATCTCTGCTGATCTTCACGCTCACAGACACTAAAGCCAAACTGTGAGTGTGTCTCTGTCTCTGTTGTGAGTGGAATGCAGCTTGCATCAATAGGCTAAATTTAACCTGTCAAACACTCAAAGCCACTCTCAGACACCATGGGGCAAGGATAGTGGGGAGAGGAGAATAGATGATGGGATGTGGATTTCCACTCGGATGTTCTTGGTAATGAAGATTCCCCCATTTGAGAAAACTGTTTCCTTGTTTCTGACTCTTTGGGGATGACATGACACATCTTTTAGGTTTGACGTAGCTTTGAGTTTAAGATGCCTTCAACTTGGCATGGTTCTCAACTTGGGGCACAGCTGCAGTTTTCAATTCTCTCTGCAAATTTGATTTCTGTTATTCTGTTTAATAACTGACTAGTGTCTATTTAATTGGCTTAGCAATATTAGTAAGGAAACACAGTCAAAGACAAATCTGTTTTGTTTTCTTGTGGTTGCACAAGTCAACACATTCATCACAGTTATAAAAAATAAAAAATCAACTTTTAATTTGAACACATGTTTTCAGGGGAATTTGATTGATTTTCTCCTTGAACAGTGTGTGTAGTTTGGTCAGATGAGACTATTCATGAGGCCTTTCAGCAACAAACACACAAATAGATGTTTGAGAAGGATATGTGGAAATTAGGCACTTCAGTGCCATTCGTTTCTCCTCCAAAGACCCGGGGAACCTTGTTTAAGAGCATAGCATCATGGACCTACAGACCTTAGGACAGACCTTAGGAATTCTAAATATTTACAATTATCTGGCTGATTCAAAAGACATGTAGAATCATTTTAGACGGTTATTTTCCAAAACTAGAATATGTGTGATCGATAAATCAAAAAGAAGCGCAATCCAAGGACAGAATGAGTTTCACGTTAAAATATATCCATACATTTTAAAAAGAGAATAACAAGCACAGTTTTTATATTGTTTATTGGTCTTATAAGTGACAAAAGAAAAAACAAAGAAAAATACAGGAAGAATCACAGGGCTGGAAACGCTCAAAACCACAAATCTTTTTGTGAAACACAGCATAGTGTGGGTACTAATGAATGTGATAATACATAAATTCATGTCTGAAATAACGATTCCTTCTAAGTTAACTTATTAAGTTAATCACTGAATCAACCACTTTTTCACACATAAATATATTTGGCATTACATTGTGTAAATGTGCAAAAAGACCTTGCAGGACAGAGAAAAAAATGCGATGCTCTGTGTGTATGTGGCCGTCGGTGGAGAGGAAACAGCTCTGTATATTTTGTTGCAGTGACAGGGATGAGCTACTGACACAATTTTTGGGGAATTATGATATATATAATATAGTTACATAATCTGAAATGAGATTGCACTGTAAAATCACAACACAGTCCACAGCAAACTTGATTAAAATATTTTAAGGAAAATGATCCAATATAGCTACACTGGAACTGACAATAGCTTAAAAAGCCACATGTGTTTGTTCCTCACAAGAATTGATTGTAATAAATGTAACTGGTAAGAGAAAAAAAAATCTCATCATACAGACAAAAACTAAGAGTATGTGAAGCAAAATGAATATAAATAATAAATCACCCCCAAAAACAAAGCAAAAAACATATTTGCTTAGTTCTGAATTCAACATGGTTTTATACCATTGAAAAACTGGGTTTTGTTTTGTTAGATTTTTTTTTCCAGAAATCACACAATTAAAAATAATTTTCCGAATAAAAAGATGCAGTTTCTACTCTTTATCCACTCAGCAGAGACTAGCTGCTTGTTCACATATCATTTTGTTTCACTCAGGTGTTCTGCTTATGTAAAGTGGTTTAAAAGAAATCTGAGTAAAGAAAAGAAACTTTCATCAAGGACAAATTGATTCACTAAATCAAACACGGCACCTTGCAAAACTATTCGAGACTCCTTTTTATATTACAACCATAATAGTTGACCCAATATCTAACAAGGGCTTTCTTCCCTTGCTACTTCTCATTAGTATTAACTTCTATGTGTTGGGCTATAAAATTGAGTTAACTTATTTGGACTTTGTGCTTTGAATCCAAGGCTGACAGGTCTTAAGGGCTGGGCAGGTCTGAACGGGGGCCCGTAGAAGGCTGGTTTCTCCTTTCTGCTTGGGGACAGAGCTTGGAAAGATGGAATCAGATGCTCGTAGTGACTCTTTCTCACAGCAGCAGAATCGAGAGAAACCCGGCGCTTCCATTCCTCTGGAGGCTCAGGCAGAGATCTGTGATGTGCTGCTGCCATAACATCAGACGCAATGGAGGACATCGGACTCTGGAACACGAAGGCCTCGTCCACGGAGCCGATTGGACTTCTTGATGCTGCCTCCCATGGTGACAGAGGTTTCCTGTGAAAGGATGTTTGCCTCTGTGTGGGAGAAAAAGCTGGCTGGACTCCAGGCATGCTCAGAGGTGACAGAAGTCCAGGTGAAGGCAGTGAATTCAGTCGCTGCGGGAGGCTAAGGGAGCGGCTTCTCCCAAAAACCTAAAAACAGAATCAAGAGCTTAGTATTCAGACACAGTTCTGCAGACTCTGCTGCCATCCCTGGGCTTCCTTTAGCTTGAACAGGTGAATGATATTTCAATAAAGCAGCATTTCAACCTTAATGATACACTTGAACATGCAGGTGTAGGAAATCAAGAGAATGCAAGATTTGTTTTCTGTTAATCATATTTAGTCAGACACTTATGCATTAATTAAACTCTGGAGTGCTAGTTTTCCACCAGTAGTGTTTTGTTGTGGCTTTAAATACCTTTATATTATGTTTTGAAAAGCAGTCCATGTTTAAAATATATTTTCTAATGTCAATCTTCAAACCATTCTGGGGTCTTTGTGAGGCTCATTGAGATTCCTGAAAACATATAAGGATCTGGATCCCACAACAAGTAATGAGTTGGGATCTTACAACTATTTGTAAAATCTCACAACTAAAAACAAAGGTCACACAACTTACCTCCAGTTTCTTCAAAAACCTTAAAACAAACAGTTGAATGTAAAAAATTATACATTTTTACACTTTTTGGAACTATTATTTTGCCAGTGTCATCCTCTTTCATTTAAAAATCCAACTCAAACACATTTATTTATTATATGTCTGTTCGTAATGGGAACATCTCTTTGCGCATCCTCACAGCAAATTGTTTTCCATGATAATTTCAGTTTTCTCAGACTGTGATTAAGTTTCATATTTTTAGAAAAAGAAAAAACACATTATCCTGAAAAATATATTTGTTCAAAACTGGAACGCCATAACGTAATATCTTGGCCAAGGAGTTCTTACTTTAAAACATGCCTGGTCATATAAACCCTAAATCTTTGTTAAAAAAAGACACTAGTCGTATTTTTAGTTTCTGAGTTCAGATAGTTACTTTAGATTACACAGCTACTGTCATCACAATAACACAACTGCAAATTCAACTGGTGGCATTAATGCCACTAATAATAACTCCAATAATATTTTTTTTGTTTTACTCATTCTAAATATCATACTTATTATAAAATACAGTTATAATAATAATACCTGTTATTATTATTATTTTATTTTTATTGCTGTGTTTGTGTGTCCTGTAAATGCTTGTAAAAGAAGCTACTGGGAGGTAAATTATTTATTGAGAAACTAAACAAAATAGAACATTTAAAAAAAAACTTTTTAATCTGCATTTCATTTTCTATTATTTTAAATTGCATTATCAAATGTAGTGAATTGTTCAATGTTAATTCTCTAGAGGCCAGGTCGTCCTTGAAGTCTTTTTTATTCTTTTACCTGCATCAAAATAAATTCAGGGTTTTGTTGTAGAACAAAGGCAACTTAAACTGAAACAATTTGAAATGAATGTTTAAGGTACGGAGTAGTTTATTTTATAAGCATTATTGCTTGAGATTTCTGACATGAACAATTTTATAGTTCAAATGTCTTAAAACTGGGTTTTAGGACATTTTTAAGACAATTTTTGCTTGAAGACAAGAATAACAGTTCCAAGCTTTTCATATTTGCTGAATGTTTAGCTAAATGAGAGAAACAAACACATACAAGTGTGCATTCAACTCAAGAGTGAAGTAGTGAGACAGGAGGAAGCATTGGGCACTCAAAGCAGTTATCAGCACACATAAAAGACAACAAGTAGGAGAGGAAAAATTTAATAGCATCACAGTGCTACAAGAAGTTCAAGAAACAGTAATATGTCAGAAAGACAGAGATACAAACAGGACAGATTTGTTTAGATTTTATGATGAATTAACAATAACATTAATACATTTTCTAGTATTAAAGTATTTGTAATTTATCAGTTTTCAAGAATATAACCTTCATTTAGATATTTTTTTTTTGTTAATCACCCTATGATCTAGATTCTTTTATCAGTTGCATTATAATCAGAGTCTGGAATGAGACTGAAAAAAACTATAAATTGTGCACAGAAACTGAAATGCAGTCACAGATTTGACCCCAAATAGAATAAGAGGTTAAAAATACTCTTCCAAAGTGGCTGGATGGGTCAGTCATTGTTATCCAGATAGCCTTCAAGTGTAAGAAATATTGAAGATGATTTGATTTGACCAGGAGGTTCATTAATATTTACTGCTGCCTATGCAAACATTGAGTAAAGGGATTAGAAGAAGACTCTCTGCAGATATTATTGCATATAAAAGCACATCCTGAGAGGCATTTAACATTAACTTATCTTCTAATGTCATGTCTTCAACCACATTCCACATTTTTGGATGGTAATGTGTTTTGTTTTTGTTCTTAGGAACTGTTGTGCTTCTCAGTATGAGAAGTGCCCTGAGATGACCCTCTCAAATGGTGCTACATTTATCACACTAAATGAAAATGTATTTGTTTCATTAATAATTGCTACATGTATTATTTTAATGACTTTTAATGAGATCTACTTAGTTAATCCTCTTAAGACATTTGTGAAGCCACCCAGATGCATTTGTACTAATGTGACTGTCGTCTCCGGCTGCACCAAAGTATGACCATGTACAGTGTTATACAGAGGAAAGCATAGCA